GGTGCCAACAATGTGAGTGCTTGCCCTGGTAAATGTCTGCTCTGTTTACGGTCGCTGTCCGGTGAGCGTATATCTGCGTCGGGGGCTATGTTCAGGTTCGGTCCCAAAAGGCTGCGTGACAACTGATAAGCAAAATGTTAAGACAATTTACCACACATCGAAATAAACGACCCCGTCCAAAGGGTGCAATAACTAGACGTGACAAGTATTTTTAAGTATGCAAAGTGTCTCTGATTTCTATTTAAATACTTTTCTCTTAAGAGAAACATCTTCTAGTGATCGACTTTGGTATCAGGTCGGATACAGTGCCGAACACTTGTCAGCGGAGCACAGAGATGAGACGGTGCTCGGCTTAAGCTTTAAGAGGGTCAGTTGAACGTTACTATATTTCGGCTTGATAACGTTATAAAGTTAAGCCTGATATACCCGAAGTAATGTAAGGCGATCTTGGAGTCTGACTACGGCTGCAGGACTTCAATCTTTCGATGTAAGGAGACACTTTTGCTGTTGCTGTTGCCCCATGTAATTGCAATTACAGTTCAATTGAACTGACTTTGAAGGTAGTCAACGATAATTATTCCACACAAGCAAAGGGCTTTTTAATATTACAAAATAGAAATGACCAATTAACTAAGAAAACATTTGCTGGCCGTACCGTTTACTCAGTTACTCTGCAAGAACCGAACGAAAGTCGACACTGACCAACTGGGTGAACTGCTAAAGCAATCAGTACCAAAAGGGATTCAACACAACGAAAAAACCAGCAAAACCCCAAGGTCACTGTATTAATATATATATTAAAAGTAATTTCAAAATGGTAAAGAAAAACGGCAATAGGACTATAAAAATCAATTAGAAGGCAAAAACCAGAGTAATTGAACAATATTTCGAAACATCTCACAATTTTTAATCACCGTGACAGGCCTTCTGTGTGTCTGTCGGCTGAACACTTCAACCCCACAAACACACGCACATACAGGGTGTCCCAAAAAATGTATACACATTTTACCTATTTGTAAAATTGGTGTTTATCATAATTTTATAATTAAGTAAATGTAAAGATGTTTACAAGTACCATTTTATTGTTCTTATTACTGAATGTTCTCAAACTGTCGTCCATTTTGTTCATGACACTGCTGAAAACGTGAAACAATGGAATCTCACATACAATGAAACAATTCCCTTGGTATTCGGATGCATTCATGTTCGGTAGCTTCTCTCAATTCACCCACTGTTGCAATAGTCAAAATGCAGTGAAAAAACAACAAAATGATAGTTTTAAATATTTTTACGTTTTTGAAATAACAAAATTATAATAAACACCAAGTTTGCGATTACTTAAAATGTGCATGCATTTTTTGGGACACCCTGTACTTGCGGCTGACTGTAACACACCTCTTCGCCTTAGGTTTTCCAGTTAGGAATTTGCGCGTATTCATTGCCCTCAAATGGGTACCAGTATCCTAAATATGATCAGTTCACAAAATATACCACTTAACATTTTAAAACGCTCAATTTCCTCTTCCCATGCACCGCAAGATGTAAATTTGAGCCCGTATAAACACGATATATACAAAATAATATAATAAAAGAATAAATAGGATTTTTCGGCTCGCAATTAAGCCCGACATTTCATCACATGAAACACACTAGTTACTGTCGTAAGTTGTATTTTGCCTCGGCCGCCTGAATTTTAGATTATTAATATTTGAGAATGTACTTTTCACATTCTTATTGCCAAATTTTTTGATCTGCCTTGTGTGCAGTATCGGCGAATATCTTGCTGTTTACAGAGCTTGGCTCTATACCCATTCCTTTATCCATTATTCTTCCGGTATTTAAACAGGATCCTCGTTCGGACATAAATAACTACCGCTGCTAAACTTCTGGAGAAGATAATTTTTAATCAAATTCTCGATTTTTGCCTAACAAATAAGCTTCTAAGCGACTCTCAGCATGGTTTTCTACCCGGAAGATCATGTGAGACGTGTCA